AATTTCAATATAAAGAATTGCCCCCTGGGTCACTTCCAAAGATTCCCAGTGGGTTGGGATTTTGGGGGAGTTGAAAGGGCCTTTCTTTTTTTAGTTTTATTTTGTATTACTATGAGCTCATAGATCTTTAAAGTATATCCAATGATTATCAGTCATTTGCATTTATTATTCTTTTTGATGTTCAAATTATTCCATCTTTGGCCAGTGGGGCCCCTTTGTGTTGGCTACTGTTAGTCTTTTTTTTTTTTTTTTTTAAACAAATTATTTATTTATTTATTTTTGGCTGCTTGGGGTCTCCGTTGCTGCGCGCGGACTTGCGCTGTTGTAAAGAGCCGGGGCTACTTTTTGTTGCGGTGCGCGGTCACTATCGTGGACTCTCTTGTTGCGGAGCACAGGCTCCAGACGCGTAGGCTCAGTAGTTGTGGCTCACGGACGTAGTTGCTCTGTGGCATGTGGGATCTTCCCAGACCAGGGCTCGAACCCGTGTCCCCTGCATTGGCAGGCGGACTCTCAACCACTGCGCCACCAGGGAAGCCCCTACTGTTAGTCTTAATAGCTTCTTTCTTTCTAGCCTGACAAATTCCAGGGAGAAATTTTCGATAACAGAGTGATGAAACTATAATGTATGTTGAAATTTTAACAAAACAAAGAGCAAGTAAGCAAGTAAATCCTATGTATAAAAAATCAGTAAGAAGTATGCCAAATAGTTAAATATTTTTTCCGGGCAGTACAATTATAGGAAAATATTATCCCCCCCTCCTTTTTTTTTTTTTTTTTTTACTTCTTTGTACTTTTCTGTACTCTACATCTTCTGCATTAAAGATTATTACTTTTATAATTTAAAAATCTGTTAAAATTTTAACAAGCCAACAGAAGATTTTCTTTAATTTAGCGAGTTTCTTTAGTCCACTTAAAATAAGATACAAATTATCTTAAAAGATACTTATACACACTTTTTTCAGAATTATAAGTAGAGTCATTTTACAATTATTAACTATATCCTATATTCTCAAAAAGCTTGTAATGTAAAGGGAAAGTAGATTAAAAATCACTTTTTAACAACCTTCAGACTACAAAATTATATTAGATGTCTGCTTCTCTCATCTGTCTTTATAGACCTTAAAATTTTTTCCCTTAAAACCAATTTGGAAACTAGTCAGTAGTATATTTCTTATAGCACTTGAGGTGGACCACAACTTCTGGAGGTTCCTGGATCTGTAAATATTCTTCAGTTATCCTTAATCCTGTGGGTTGATGTATTCAAAGCAAATAAACAAGAACAAATCAGCAGAAGAACTTATTCCTCAGTATAAATAAAACAGGGCATGTAAATTAGTCTCCTTCAGTGCAGATGGTGATCATTTAGACGTGGCCTTGATGTGGGTTACTTTTACCTGAGATCCACCAGGGTCCATCCCGGACCCAGGTAAATGGGATTTTAAATTGTTGACCCTGGAAGGAAATCATCTCGTATGAATCCATCCCAAATGGATCACACTGTGTAAAACGTGGAAAGTGGTCCTATTGCGTGTATTTTTTTTTTAATGAAGTTATACTTACCATGAATAGTAGAGAAAGAAATGTAAAAACTCAACTATGTAAGAGCTGGTGTGGGTGCGTGTTTAAGTGTGTTTTAAAAGAAAAACTCATTTCTCTCCAGTAGAACTGAGAGTCTCCTACACTCTCTTCCTAAAGCCTTGGAGGAAAGCTTCCCTTATGCTAAAACCAGGCTGAAATGTTCTTACTTTTCTCCATTCTGGAAATCTGAAACAACCCACACTTTTCTGGGTAAATCATTCAGGATTTCTGCCGTTTCCTGCCCAGAAACAGTTTCTTCATGGTGTCATATTAGAAGTTTTTCTCATTGATAATTTCCTTATACTAACATAACTAATAAAAGCTATAATTCTACAAGACAAATTCAACAGTCAAGGTAGCGGCAAGGAACAGAAGGCACACGCAAAGTGCTTCACTGAAGCAGGTTTAATAAATAAATCTCTTTAATATGTGCTGGATCCACATGTAGTTTGGCACATAGTAAGATTAGACATGAACAAGCAAAGGACATCAACTTGGCTCCCTATTCTTAGAATCTTGGAGTAAATATGAACTAAGAATATTTTGCAGTGCATTTTGGAAAGGAATATTATCTTCATCTGGACTGGTGGTCTGCTTCCAGCTCTGATCATGAAGTTAAAAAAGGAGGAAAAGGAAGAGGAGGGAAGGGGAGGGGGAGGAGGGAAGGGGCCCTAAACAAGACTTGTTGAAAAAATAACCACTTCTTCAGTGCTGCACAGAGGAAAATACCTCAGGTGCCACAGGTGACCAGATGACTCTCTGGTACTGAAGCTCTGTCGCTTTTGCTCGGGGCTTACTTTGCATAACTCAAAGCGTGGTCTCTGTAGTAGGAAAATTAATGGCCCTGCCCTTTCCAAAACCAGATTCCTTTGTTAGTGTTGGTCCCATTAGACAAAACAGGCAAATGCCGCAAGCTTCTCTGACAACTCAGTTTTTCTTGGGTATGGATTTGCCTTAACAGACTTAGCAGCTTACAGGAGCTATGCGCTGGAAGTGAGATTTACCAACCCCTTTTACTTACTTATAAGCTCCATCAGTATGGGGGCTGGGTACAGTGCCTGTGGCTGGTTCAGTGCCAGGACTTGATACATATTTGTTTAATGAAAGACGATGTCTCATATCCCTCTCGTTTCCCCCGCAATGTGAAGTGCAGTACCAGACAGTTAAGAGGTGATAAATGAACACTTGTTTACTAGGTAATGATTCAAATGCTGTACGAGGTACCTGAAGTTAAGGATTTATTTAGGTATTCATCTTCTCAATCCTTGCCCCTGGAGTTATTGGCTGTAAATATTGATGACAGGTGAGGCATACATGCCAGGTGAAAAATTGCTACTGCCTTCCCTAAACTGCCACCATTCTGAATCACTTCAGTCCACAATTTTTAATCAGACCCTAGTACTTAATCCTCGAAATGACTAGTACTGAAAACATGGCATATCCACATTCCTTCTTATTTAACTCTGGCAAAATGATAGTAGAACCAAACAAAACACATTCATTTTCTGTGTAGTTAAATTACAATTTCGACGGTGTTTCTCAATACTGGAAATTGTTTAATTTTGTCCCTTTGAGTCTGAGAGTTCTCAAGAAAAATTACCTTTTAGGGTAGAGAATCTGAAGCATGGATTTTTGTTAATTTGGGCCATCTCTCTTTTAAAAGAAGTAATTTGTGGAACTGACTCATAGGGAAATACTTTTAAAGACAATAGGTAATTTTGGATGATTAGACCTCAATCATTTGAGCTTCTCTGCTTTGGGATAGGAATCAGGAACCAGGCTCTCCCAAGGCCATGTGCAGACCTGTTGAACCGTGCTGGAATCTGTCTAAATAATTAGCAACTTTGCACTTTAGCAACTTTGCACTCAGATTTCTTTGGATTGAAGCATGGGACATGCAAATGTAGGAGAAAGCCAGGGACAATAGCGAAATAGCTGAGCAGTAGTGGCCAAGAGGAGTCTCATCACAGTGATTCAGGGACAAAGTTTCTTCAATTCGGGAAGAACATAGCACATTTAAAAGAGCAACAAAGACAGAAGGTATGAACCGTGCACTAAATCCATTTACTTCCAGAAACAGACCATTGAGGTCCTATATAGACTAATATGTCCAAAAGTCAAAAAAGATACAAGAGAAATACATCATTTTACTGGTGCCAAGTTCACTTTGTTCTAGGAACTTAGATATTTCATAATAAAAATTGAAATAAAGGCCAAAAATGAAGCAAAGGTAATTACTTTTGAGATGGATTCTAGTCATCTTAATTCGGGCAACCAGTATATTTTATTCAGAGCTATTTCTGTTTCTGTCTTCATTCAAGTTATGAAGTTTTAAGATAGCCTTTGATAGATGGCAAATTATTTTAGTTCCTTTAATATTTATAAAAGTGTAATAGTCCTAAAAGTTATTAGTACTAAATGTCCTTATTCATTTTTTGCCCACTTAGTTACTAAAATAACTGACATCAAAATATTTCCATGTAATAAAGAATTAGTTAGCAGTGAAGATTTACCACTAGTTGATTAGTTTGAGTAGACATACTGTTAAGTAATGTTGTTTGGCTTGAAATTCCCATACAGTTCTCACCACAGTATAAATGAATTAACCAACCATTATAAATATTTAATAGATACGGAAAACATTTATAGGAGTCAGGAATGCGACTTTCCTGTTTGCTTAATAAGCATCTACACAGGTCACTTCCTATCATGCATATTAACTTATAGTAATGACCATGGTAGTAATATATAACTTGAAAGTTCAGGGAATATTTTTAATTTGAATATCATTTTTATTTTACCCATTTACCCCAAGCAGCAGTATATCTGACTGATGTATTTTTGGTTGAGTGCATTTGATAATAAAGCAGGATCACTGCCTTCTACTTCCTTGAATTCCTAAAGCCAGCTCTCGCCTCTATCAAACTCTGTTATAACAACCACTTGATGGGTCCAGTAATCAAAAACTGGGTGTGGTCAATAATATTCAAGTAACTTTTTCCTAACACCGACAACCCCGAAGACTTCATATGAATAATCCTGAATTGCTCTGGCAAACATTTTATTTACCTACCCCATCAAAAATTTATGGACGATTATGACCCAAAAGTATACTCTACCTCAAGTGTCAAAACAAACGAATTTAGGTTTTGACAACAAGAACGTTACAGAAATATTTGTGATGCAAAATCTTGTAAGGTTTTGCCTTAAAATATGTTTTATAGTAGCTGATATTTCCTTTGTTAACACGATTGGCCAGAATATGGAAAAGAAAAGGCAAGTCACCCACAGGAGTCAACCCCGGGCCTCTTGAGCAGAGTACGTGTGTGAGCGCGTGTGGGCATGGCTCACTGCCTGCCCTCCCTTTGCCATCATTGATTTCCTCCCTCCTCATTAAACACTCATTGATTCTTGTCTTCCAGATGACACAGGCTGTCCTAGTAGTCAGTCAGTATCTCCTGTGAAAACGCCCTCGGATGCTGGCAGCAGCCCTGTTGGCTTTTGCCCTGGAAGTGATGAAGACTTTATCAGAAAGAAATGCACAGTTGGAATGGTTGGTGAGGGAAGCATCCAGTCAGCTCGACATAAGAAGGAGCCAAAGTCAGGCCTTGTAAAGCCAGGTGAGTGTACGTAAACTTTTCATGTTCTTATTGGAGTAATATGACTAGAGGGATTTCAAATGAAATTTGAAATGAAACACCTGGATATCAAGGTAGGAAACACTAATGCTGTACCTAGCACCCAGAGACATCTTTTTTTTTTTTTTTAGTAAAGGAGGTAGAGCATAGAGTGAAATATTTTCTGTACTAGTTGTTAATAATTGAGAATGCATAGTGACATATGTGTCTGTTATAAAGACATGTAAAAAAGGGAGGAAATTTGAAGAAATGTTAACTGAATGGTCTAAAAGACACTGAAACTATATAATTAAGTCTAGCATAAATTATACTAAGAGATTACTTGGTACCATTTAAAGTGTGCACAAATTGTGAAAAGAGCAGGTTATCTTGATGCACATCTGTAGGGCTGGGCATACTTGCTGACCTAGTTATTTTATTTGCTTTTAAAGATTTAAATATGAATATGATGCTATATATTCTATATATATATATACATAGAATGTTCAATAATTACAAAATAGTAAAAGCTATGAGGTGAAATGGAGATTTTTATTACAGTGAATGAGATGCCATGAACATCAGAAAAGGTCAGTTCTCAGAACTTGCAATATATAAATAAATATTTTCCATCTCAGAAATATATACAGTATATGAACAAATATAGTTTTAGTGAAATTAAAGTTATAACTTTAAAATAAAAGGACCTGAGTATTGGCATTGAGAGACAACCCCTATATTGCATTATTTTCTTCAGTATCACCAGTTGTACTATACATATTAATGAGCCTGAAAAGACAGATTAATGGCTTGCATGAGCCCCATTCCTTACATTTGTCTTCTAATTTTTGTTTGGTGATATCATTATTGTGCAAGGAGCTATAGATGGCTTTATTTCAATGGAGCCAAAGGTTGGTCCTGTGTACGCTTCCATTGGAAGGTCCTGTGTCCTCTTCCATCTCTCTCTGCTTTTGTTCTTCCTGAATAATTGACATGCATAGCATATCTTAATGGATTACTCTTCGTCTTGCTTTTGGTCAACCAAAGAGAATGTTGTTTAGTCTGAGAGCAAAACTTACACTGTGTGAAGAAGAAATCCCCTGTTTCCTAATAGTTCCTGGTAAATGTTAGTTATGATGAATTTGTTAACAGTCCTTTGCTTCAGAAAAATATAAAAAAGAAAATGATACACAATGGAGAAGACAGCATATAAAAGAGAAAGATGGACATTGTAAAAAAGGTGTTGGGTACCCCCAATATTTAAGACAGAGACAATGAATTGAAGAGTGTCCTGTAATTATAGCCAAGAAATAAACCATTACCTTGTGTACTCAAGAGCCAGAGCTGCCTTCCTCCCTCCCCCAGCTCAGTTCTCCTTTTTTTAAGTTAAGAAATAATTCATATACCATAAAATTCACCCTATTAAAGTGTACATTTCAGTGGTATTTAGCATATTCAAAAGATCATACAGGGCTTCCCTGGTGGCGCAGTGGTTGAGAGTTTGCCTGCCGATGCAGGGGACACAGGTTCGTGCCCCGGTCCAGGAAGACCACACATGCCATGGAGCGGCTGGGCCCGTGAGCCATGGCCGCTGAGCCTGCGCATCCGGAGCCTGTGCTCCGCAACGAGAGAGGCCACAGCAGTGAGAGGCCCGCGTACCGCAAAAAAAAAAAAATAAAAAAAGATCATACAAACATCACTACTGTCCAATTTCAGGACATTTTTATCTCCCCCAAAAGAAACCTCATACCCATTAGCAGTCACTGTCCACTTTTCCTTTCTTCCAGCCCTTGGCAACCACCAACCTACCCTCTGTCTGATCCGCCTGTTCTGGACATCTCATATAAAGGAATCATACAATATGTGGCCTTTTGTGTTCAGCTTCTTTCACTTTGCATAATGTTTTCAAGGTTCATGTATTAGTACTTCATTCTTTTTATGGCTCAATAATATTCTATTGTATGGATATACCACATTTTAAAATAGACTTTTTTTTGAGCAATTTTGGGTTTACAGAAAAATTGAGCAGACAGCAACAGAGTTCTTATATCCCCCCTCACTACCACTACTTCCAGTTTCCCCTATTATTAACATCTTGCCTTAGTGTGGTGACAGACCACATTTTGCTTATCCATTCACAGTTGATGGAAATTTAGATTGTTTCCACTTTGGGGCTATCACGAATAATGGTGCCATGAACATCCATATACAGGTTTTTGTGCATGCTTTCAATTCTCTTGGGTATATACTTAGGAATGAAATTGCTGAATCATATGACAACTCTATGTTTAACCCTTTGAGGAATTGCCAAACTGTATTCCCAAATGGCTGCATCACTTTACAAACCACCAGCAATGTATAAGGGTTTCAGTTTCTCCACATCTTTACCAACAGTTGTTATTGTCTATCTTTTTGATTATACCCACTCTAGTGAGTGTGAAGTGGTATTTCATTGTGCTTTTGATTTACATTTCCCTGGTGGCTAAAGATGATGAGCCTTTTTTTTTTTGTTTTGCGGTGCACGGGCCTCTCACTGTTGTGGCTTCTCCCGTTGCGGGGCACAGGCTCCGGACGCGCAGACTCAGCGGCATGTGGGATCCTCCCGGACCGGAGCACGAACCCGTGTCCCCTGCATCGGCAGGCGGACTCTCAACCACTGCGCCACCAGGGAAGCCCGATGATGAGCATCTTTCCATGTGCTTATTGGCTATTTGTATATCTTCCTTTGAGAAATGTTCTCAATTTTCTTTTAACCTGGGAGCAGTCACCAATGGAGTCTGCTTCTGTAGCATACAGGATGTGAGTTTAAGAGCAGAAGCCCTGTCATCCTCTTTTTGTATTCCTAGCACACAGGGGCCGGTGTGTATCGAGGGCACAATCAACATTGGTTGACCTCAACAGCAAAGGTAGGCTATGGGATTGAGAATATGAAATGCTGCAGGAAAGAATGTCCGCTTCATGGATTGTGAAGAAAAAGTAGATTTTTATTGTGAAGGTATTGTAGGACTTGAATGCAACCTGAAATTATTTCATTTTTGTTATTCACCACCCCTCCACCCCCTGGCCCCCTTCCAAAAACATTTTACGGTGGTGACAATACCAAGAAACGTGAAAAAAGAGAAAAGTGTGGTGCAACAAGAACAACCTAAGTTTAACTGGCAGTTAAGTTTATCCTTGCCCTTCCTTGTTTCAATAATCATAATAAGAATAATCATATCTTCACGAAAGATTTAAAACCCTATGTGTATGTACAGAATCCACCCTCAGCAAGTCTGGTTCCTACAGAAGATACTCACTTGCTAAAGATCAACTACTTGTCTTGCTGAGAGTGTTTAAGCCTTATGCTTTCATGAAGAACATGCAGACAAAAAGAATAAAAAGAAGGGGGGAGGGAGGGAAGAAGGGAGGAAAGAAAACAAGAGTTGTTCTTCATGCTGTTTTGATAATGGATCATTTGAGAATAGTGAAGGCCACAGACCCATACTCCAGAAAAACACACACAAAATATCACATACTATTTCTGCAGTTTCATGGGTCTCCTTTATTAGGATTTATGACTCCTAGTTTAATGACCCTTTTGCCCAGAGGCAGAGCCTGAAACAGGGCCTTTGTCAACTGCTTCTGACTTAATTGCTCAGAGGCAAACATATCACCTAAGCAGTGCTGACCTCGTGATTTTTTGATTTATTTGCATTTTATCAAGGTCACAGGGGTCCCTAAAGGTTATTTCTTAGTTGCCTGAAATTCCTAAGTCATCACTAAAAACCATTGCTTGAGCTTTTGACTGGGCCCCAATTCTGGACAGTAAGCTCTTTGTATTTAGAACAATCTGCACCGTGACCTATAGTTCTCTGAACTTTCAGCAGAATAAATCTGTCATGCTCATAAATAGGAAGAGAGGAAATCCTGGAACCGAGGCCCCTGGGTGACTCCAAAATTTATAAAATGCAGAGACATAATCTGTTAAACCACAAGAAGGTACTGCTCTCTGGTTAAAATGTTCCACCTCCTCTGTCCCCAGGTGACCATCTCCCCTCAGCCTAAACTCATCTTCCGCTCTTGATGTGCACTCTACTTTTTTTAAATAAATCGACTCATTAGGACCAATACCAGTTTATTAAAATAGCAAGCAATTAGTGCCTCTTATACAGATGCTCAAGGGCCCTTTAACATTAACCTGGGCCCGTTTTATTTTAGGTCCGTTGTTCTAGATTCTGGAAACTGCTTTTCATCTCAGAAAGGAGTTATAGAAATGCCCCTTTGGTCATTCAGATAAAGAGCTAATAATATTTACTGAGTATCTAATGCAGAAGGAGAAGAGATCTGTGTCACAGGATGCCAGGAAGGGCTCTGAAAGGTGAGCACGCCAGCACCTCTCCAGCAGGGTACTGTGGCACACGCCCAGCATGAAAGCCCTGCTTTCCTCCAAGCAGGACTCGTGTTGGAACTTCTTGGAGGCAGTGAGCCTTCTGTCATTTTGGCTTCTATCACTTAATGGCTATGCAGATTTAATTAAAAATTACCAGCAAAGAGCGGAAGAAAACATCCCTGCAGTTCAGTTGAATAATGGCTTTGCCTTTTTCATGTCAACTCAGCACACATTTAAGACTGAATCTCCAGAGTGTAATACAATGTCTGTCATCAGGTAGGTGTTCAGTAAATACTTCTCTGAGAATAGAGTGTACAAGGAATCAATGTGTAGTGTGGGGGGAACATGGGAAAGATAAAGCAAAGATGACCTCAACATCATCCCTGCTCTTAGGGACCTTATCATTTAAGGCAGAAAACTACAATAAATCTGGGCTGCAGTACAGATTAAAAGGAAGGGAATGGAGGCATTCTGATTGGGAACTTTTTTTTTTAATAATTAATTTTTATTGGAGTATAGTTGATTTACAATGTTGTGTTAGTTTCCGCTGTACAGCAAAGTGAATCAGTTATACATACACATACATGCACTCTTTTTTAGATTCTTTTCCCATATAGGTCATTACAGATTATTG